GCAGCAGCCTTTACGCGGTCTGGACTCCCCAGGTCAGTGGGACCAGGCAATGCCTGCCGTAAGCCACCAGACTTCCGTCTGCAAAGCGTAAAGCAATCTTTTATTGGGTTCTGGAGGAGCGCATGTCACTATCAATTCTTAGGTATTCTTTCACACGAGTGAGTCATCGTTTCATTTCAGATTTTCTCAGTGCGAAATGTCAGCCTTGTGAGAGCTGAAACGAACCAGTCCCACCCGTGAAATACACCAGGTTCTAAAATTCCAGTGGTGGAGTCGAGGTGACTGCTGCGGGGGAGAAGGTGGAGGTGGCCATTCTGTTAGCACTTTGTTGATATTAACCATTATCTGAGTTCATTTCCATTGACGTTCAGGATGATGAGGCAAGTGCTGGGAGAGAGCAGCGCAGTGCAGCTCTCACAGTATTCCCGCCTCTCAGGTTCACCGACGGAGACTTTTTGTTTGGGAAGTCAGGTGTCGGACACGTACGGACTCAGACTTAAAAGTATCCAAACCAGACTGAGAGTTCCACATATATTACACCACTTACACTTACACCCTGCGTCAGGAACGCACACTCCCTCTCCCCGGAGGGATGCACCCCGCTTACCTAATTTCGGATGGTTTGAGGCGCTGGTTGGCAAGAGACTGGGAAGGTGGCTAACAAAGTACAGGGTGAGCACATTCAGTAGAATGCTTTGCAGTTGGTGAGAATTTATTCCATTCGAGTTGCTTTTTCTTCCTTTTACGACTTGTGTTTGCAACAAAACGATTGCCAGAGATCAGCCCTTGATAGAGCCCAACCACCGTGAAAGTTTCTGTTCTCCAGCCGGGGGGTTAGGCCGACAACAAAAGCCTGCATTTATATAGCGCCCCTCATGCAGGGTAGCGTCCCAGAGCGCTTGACAGTGGCGGAGCACGAGACTGAGTTGGAGGGAGGGGGAAGTGACCGTAGGCACTGTCGAATAGGAAGGTCTTCAGGTGCGACCTGAAGATGGGGAAGGAAGGGGCAAGGAGGAATGGATAGAGGAAGAGTGTTCCAGAGATTTGGGGCATGGGCAATGGCAATGTGCCCTAACCCACTCTCCTGGAAGGAACCAGTGAATACTCAGAAGGTTTCCTGTCACTGAGAGGCAGTTTGTTCCCAAACTACTGTAGCCTGAGGCGGATTCCAGAGCCAGGGGTTGGCGAATGGAGGACTGAGTTCACGGAGGGAAGTGGGGCGAGGTGGATTGACAAGTTGAGGACGAGGATGGGTGGAGAGATTTATGAGATGAGGACAAGACGAGGTGGGAAGAGGAAGGACGTGAGGACAAAGGTGGGAAGAGGACTGAGCCATATTGGCTTTACTGGTTGTAATATTTGTGCATCCAGCCTCAGGAGTCAGTCAGTGCAGCAGAAGATGAAGAAAATGTTAGAACATAATGGAATTTATCCTGTCTCCTTCTCTCGCCCCTTCCTCGCCTCTCTCTCTCTCTCTTTCTCCCTTATTATTTCCCTTTCTCTCCCTTTGCCCCCTCTCTGTTCCCTACTTTCTCTCTCTTGACATCTGGGGATCAGACACCACTCCCTCACCGGCCCCCTCCCCAGACCTTGGGTCTGTGGGCACTGTGTGGTGAAGAGGATGGGGGTGTGGGAGCTGGCGGAGGTGGCAGGGGAGAGTGGGTCCTCACTGCTCTTTAAGCGATTAGTGCTGTGAAGCAGCAATAAGCTGGGAATTACTGCCTGGGTGCTTGACTGTAAGGAATGATGGGGCATCGAGAATGCTCACTGAGAGACTCCAATTTGTTGTCCTCGAATAAGCTGGCTAAGTCCAAAGGGCTTGTAATTAATTAACATCTGTCTGAAAGGCTGACCTTTGAGGTGAGCCCAAGCGATTGGAGTGAATTTGCCAGTCAGCTGGGAGCAGGGAGGTAGCATTTAAAAGGCATCTGCAGTGGCTTAGACTCTCCTTAACTGATCCCGCTCCCATTCAGTGTCCGCTTGCGGATCGATTGCTCTGACTGCTCGGTTGCAAATCACTCTCACATTCAGCAATATTGTCCCCCTCTCACACACACACACACACACACAGTTTTACGAATTGTACAAGCAAGAGGTCTTAACATGGTATTCTCGCCAGAGTTATCTCTGTGTATTTGTCTGTGTGCATGGGGGTGGGCGCTGGGCGAGAGAGAGAGAGAGAGAGAGAGTGTGTATCCAAAAAAAGGGAATGAAATGAGCTGAAACAAACAGTGGAGTCACTGTGGACTTGTTCCCCTCCAGCCAGTCGGGAGACTTCACCAGGGAATAGCTGTTTGCAGCTTTGAGCTCCAGTGTACACACAAGAAAAGAGGTCTCTTTTCATCACTGTTGCTTTGTTCATGGTGGTCAGCCTTTGGCCTGGCTTTTGTTCATTGCTGACACTGCAAGAAACGCCGGTATCTCTCCAGAGATCGCGGGGGCACAGCTCTCGATCTGCAATGCTGACTTTCGCCCAGACGTGCGTTCAGAAATAAATTGAGTGTGCCAGAGTATGTGTGTGTACATGTATGTGTATGTGTGCCTACCCCCAGCTTGGGTACATATCTAGCAGTGTTAATAATAATAATCCTTACATTTGATATAGAACCTTATCACATCTTCGAGACGTTTCAAAGAGCTTCACAGAATATACTATAAAATGAGTTGACTGTATATTCTGTGGGAAAAACGCGGTAGCCAATTGCGCACAGCAGTGTCCCATAAACAGTCGTAGATTGAGTGACCAAATTATTATTATTATTTTTTTGAAAATGTTGGAAGGGAAACTAGATGTACCTCGGATTTCTTTCGCCTGGCAAATTCTTATGTTCTTATGATCTTATGTGTGTGGGTGTATATATGTATGTGGACACACGCAGAGATTGGTGCAGGTTTGTGTGTGCTTGTGCCATGTGTAAATAATAGTAGCTCTCTATTCCCTTTCTTTATCAATATTCTCTGCACGTAATTTTTGTTCATTTGAATTGAGTGTGAGGCTTGTTGGCTTGAGTTGCACTCCCAGACGGTGCCTCCGACAATGCAATGCTCCCCCACTGAAGCATCAGCCTGAGATATAAGTTAAAAGTCCAGATATGTGGGACTAGAACCCACAAGGTTATTGATTCAGAGGTGATAGTGCAACCAACTGAGCCAGGCTGAAAACGTTACTCATCAGCTTTGATGTTTTCAAGAAGTTAAATGGTTCATAACACCTCGTCGGGAGGTAGTTTCGGCAGGTGGAACAATAAGAGTCCTTCACGATGACTCGCGGGACTGGGGCTCTGGGGAGATCTCGGGTCTGAGCTAAGGCAAGCGAGCTGGTGTCACAAATAAGGGGCAGGGCAGTTCACGTTGGGGCCTTTTTCCACCAGTTACACCTTTCGAGAGCTTGCTCCATCCCCAGCGTCTCTTTAAACCGTTTTTCTTTATGCCCCCTTCTGAAGAAAACCAAACATACTTCTCTCTTCTCCCTCCCTCCCATTGAGACCAGATCCCTTGCTTTACTCAGTGAATTCTTAAATAGACCTTGGGCAAATCCATTCAACAGAGCATGTGGTATCAGCAAGGGTAGGACAGTAATGGACCCTAAAGTCGCTCAGTGACCCTATCTGCCCAGCTGTGAGCTCAGATTTTCCAGAGTGTGATGTCTGTCAGTGCATGTCGACTATAAGATGCATTTTTGGATCTGAAAAAGAAATTTGAGGGAAAGGATAAGACGCAGAGAGAAACAGACAGACAGAGAAACAAAGAGAGAATGAGGGAGACACAGAAAAGAGATAGAGTTAGAGAGACAGATTTAGAGAGATAGAAAAATACACAAGGAGAGAGACAGAGCGACAGACAGACGCAAACATACACAAACAGAGAGAGAGAAAGAGAGAAATACAATGCAGTTTTGACAGTCACAAAGCATTAGCAAACTTTTGAAAACAAAGCAGTTATTAAATTAAAAAGGAAGGACTATTCATATCTGTGTGGGAACTTAATCAAGCTCTCATTTCTAATGCTGATGACTCCACGGTTGCCTGAGGTAGTGTGGAAGAAAGCCTCTTTTGTGCCTCGGTAATGTGGCAGCGATAAAGTTTCCTATAGCAGCCATATGTGTTTACATCACAAGTCGTGTTGTTTGACAAAATGCTTTGTCCTGTGTGCGTTTCCCTCTCTTTTAATTCGGCAGAGTTGGTTGCAGGATTATTTTGCCTGGAAGCATTTTAATCAGCTGCGATCTTTTTTTGTGTGGATGTGTGTATCTGTGTATCTGTTTGTTTTGCTCTCTTTTCCCCTCCCTCTTGGAAAAAGTTCCTTTTTCCTAAGTGGAATTTGAGAGTTGTGCACATGTAGGGCAGGTGGACAAAATGTGAGAGATTGAGGTGAGGGAGGGATTTGAGACTGTTTACCCAAAAGATAACAAGCAAAGAACCACGTTAATATCAGGTTGAATAATTCTTTGACCTTCTGGTCTCTTTGAAGACCAATAAGACTTGATGTTTAAAATTCCACCTGGCCTTGCTCTGTAGTTTCTAGGTGATTTGCGCACAGCAATGTCCCATGTACAGCTATGAAGGGAATGACCAGTTTTATTTGGGGGATTGTTGGCCACGAACTGGGGGAAACTCCCTTCTCTTTTCAAGTAGGGATCTTTAATGCTCCCCACGCCCCCTGGCAACCTAGACTGTGAGCTTAACGTTCCGACTTGAGGCTTGAACCCACAACCTGCTTCCTCGAAGGAAAAGAATAAAACCAGCTGAGCTGGGTTGACACTTAAGAGCGGGAGAAAGGAACGGAAATCTATTACAAAGAGAAAGGCCTCCTCTTGTAATGAAAGGTTCTATGATGTGTGTGTTGATGTGTGTGTGTATGTGTGTCTTTCTCTCTGTGACATTCCACAGTAGGCTGTGGATGGAAAAAGATTGCAGATATCAGATATTCACTGGCTGGTGTTTTCTTTTCTCCCTCTCTCTCTCTCTCTTTCCCTGTTCCTGGTGTCATGACGGATTTAGCAGCTATATGCCACTCAGCTGGCCAGCATGCAGTCATCGCCCAGCGGAAAGATCCTGTCCACCCAACAGCCGCCGAATCCAGCCGGTGGGCTCTCTCCTACGACACTGAAAAACGAAAAGCGCGGGAACAGTCCCGTGACTCATGTCAAGGTATGTTCTTCAGTATTTTGGCTCGTTTTCCAGGTGGGTAATAATTCCTTCAAAAAAATAAAAATAATAATAATAATAATAAATTGGTCGCTTCAATCCACGACTGTTTGTGGGGACAGTGCTGTGCGCAATTGGGCTGCCGCATTTTGCCCACAAAATACACAGTCAATTCACTTTACAGTAGATTCTATGAAGCTCTTTGAGATGTCTCAAAGACGCGACAAGGCGCTACGTCAAATGCAAGGATTATTATTATTATTATTTATACAGCCGGTTTCCGAGAGAAGAACTTCACCCCTTCAGATGGTATTCAGAAATGTTCCTGGGTAAATGATTAAATATTAAGAGTCTTTACTTTGATTCTCTGTGAGAAGGGAAACATTTTACAAGGTTCATTAATGGGATCTCCAGATAGTATTTAAAATAATAAGGTAATACGCATTGTATTTGATATAGCAGCTTTCAGGTTAGGAGGATGTCTCAAAGCACCTCACAGGATTTTACTGTAAAGTGCAGTGACTGTTTTGTAGGCAAATACAGCAGACATTTTGCGCACAGCAGTGTCTCACAAACGGCCATGAAGTTAATGATCAATTTTATCTGGGAGGCGGAAAGGGTTGCTGACCAGGAGAGCAAAAAACTTGAAAGATCACCTGAATGCGCACCTGAACAGGCAGACTGTTGAGCTGGCACCAGCAGAGAGAAGAGAGGAGAGCAATGGGATTAGAGTAGAGAAGAGCAGTGGAGTAACTTGGCACCAGCACAGAAAGACGGACCAAATGTTCACCTTCTGCGTTGTAATGACTAGGATTAACATTTACCCTGTGAGTCCCCAGCGTGGATTAAATTGCTCAAATAGCCACCTCTGAGGGCCTGGGATCCTGCATGATTGTTCTGCGGTGCAAGTGGAACGCACACCTTCGGGTATCTAGCCTGTGCCAAGGCCGGACTGGAAACTGCTAGCTTTCTGAGTGCGAACGCAGGGCCGAAATGAGCTGAATGCAAAATGCCCAACGTCACCCAAACACCCTCCAAATTGAATTGGAAGAGGCAAACCTAACAATGGTGCGCACTCCAGCAGCTAGCTGGAGCCTGATATGCATTGCCAACACCGTGGGGCTTGGCTCCCTGGTGAATTATCAGAGGGAGAGAGGGGGAGAAAGAAATGTGGGTCAGGGTGTTGAAAATCATGGAGATTCACAGCTCGCTAATTGATCAGAATTGGACTTTAACTGCATTGGCAAATGTGGCATTTTGGTTACAAGAGGTAGGGAGGTGTGTGGTGCAGTGGGTTAATGCATCTTGGGCATTTGTATTTGAATTCAGCTAAGAGATATGGGATGGAATCTCTCTCTCTCTCCCTCTTTGCTGGTATTAACAGTCCTATGTGTTTGAGAAAAGTCAGCTCCCGGGGATTGGGAGTGAAACAGCCGATGGCACAAAGCTGTTATGAATTCAGTACAAGTTCAGTCAGATAGGCCAACAAGATAGGTAGCCAGAGAAATGGAGATGTTTGCACTGGTATAAATAAAAAGAATCTTTGCATTTCATATAGCGGCTTTACATGTTGCCGAGACATCTCAAAGCGCTTCAACACAGTGGGGGAGCTACACCACTGATTTGAGACTATTACCTGAGTGAAAGAATAGGGAACTTTATAGAAAGCTGACAGCACAGAAGGATGCAACTTTCTCCATCATGTCAGGGCTGGTGCTCGCTCTACCCCGGAGCTATCTACAAGAAATAGGCTTGCAAGTTCAGTTTGAATTTAAGAATTTTGTCCACCACTGTGGACCATCTTAAAGGTTAAGTGAAAATCCATTGCCCTGCACTTTCTCTGAACTCTTGACCTCACCAGGGTAGAATAGTAGGGGAGAGGGAGTGATATTCTGTGCTTTTCAATATTAAAAGTTTAATGGGAAATCCACTTTTCCCCAGAAATTGGTAAAATGAATCAAGAAAGACCCTCATGACTCCCACATGTAGTCTTTGAAAACCTCTGTAAACTCTGTCTTAATTTGAAAGGCGATTTTTCTTCCCACAGTTTTTAACAAGAAATGGGCTTGCAAGTTCAGTTTGAATTTAAGAATTTTGTCCACCCCTGTGGACCATCTTAAATGTTAAGTGAAAATGCTGAAACTTGGTGGAATTTGGGGCTTGAGGATGACCGGTAGTTTCTGCATGCCCCAAGTAATTTTAGCATTGCATTTCAAGGAATCTGTTAATCACAATGGACGAGCGATCTGAAGCAGAGTTGCTGTAAATAACTGCTTACCATTGCTGTATAATATTGCGGTCAAGGCAGTAATGTGAATAATGAATAGCTTTCTTCAGTGGCATATGCTAGTCAGTTTCTCTTCCCTGCAACTCACCCCTCCCTATAGTGCGGTTTGTATGGATCCCAAGGGATGTGTTTTAATAAGGGGTTTGCTGCATTTACAAACTGCAAATCTACAGTCAACTATGACGTCACCCAATAGAGTCGGCCTTTTACAAGCGATTTTTGGTGTCTTCGCAAACTGGCTGCCAACTGCGGTGCCCTTAATCTTCTATTCATCTAGTCTGCTAAAAGCAAGTCAAAAATTGGGTGATTTAAGAATGGAAAAATTCAGTGGAATCCTTGTTATATGCAAACTAGCTTACAGGCAGACTCATAGAGACGACCAGGAACGCACTAAGTGTCAGCCTGGCTCAATCGATAGCGCTCTCTCCTCTGACTCAGAAAGTTGTGGGTTCAAACCCCAGATTGGAATTTTAAGCTCAGGTGCACTGATGCGTATATTTGTCGGCCAATTTGCGCACAGCAAGGCCCCACAGACAACCATGAGGTGAATGGTATGTGCACAGAGGATTTACTGGAAAGCCAGGCCATTGTCGATGTGGTGGCCATTAACAGGGGGAATAGGTTCGAGTCTGTACTAGTGCCATGTGATGATGCTTTTGACCAATTTGCAGGACGAAACTGCCCAGCCGCTCAACCTTTCAGCCAGGCCCAAGACTTCAGAATGTGTCCGATCGCCCACATCGCCGACACAGAACCTTTTCCACACAAATAAGTGCAGCCCGATCAACCTACTCAACAAAGGCAGCATCCCCAGCCCGTTGGGTGGGGCCCCAGGAAGAGGATCATCATTAGGTAAATGCACAGCACAGTTACACAGCACAGTGTCCAGGTGTGCGAACAGTTGTATTTCAGTCTTATTTGCCACCTACAAGCAGCCACTGTCGAAGGTTATGCCAGGGTTTCTATGCAGCAACACTTAAATTGTGGGTCTTTGTCAGCACGGCTCTCCTCCCAATATGACTCAGATTTTCACCTCACTTCTTGTGATCTTGTGATGCAGGGGAGAAAGGTGCCAAAGATTGTTCATTACCAACCAGTCCCGTGTCCCTACACAGATCAGAGCACATCAGGAACTCAAAGCCTCCTTCAGTCCCGTTGGAAAAAAAAGGCTGATGTACGAATTAAAAATCAAGTACAATGCCTCATCTTCCTCCACATATACAACCCACTTCCATACAACTCCCTCCCACTTTCATACATCGCCCACAAAATACACAGTCAATTCACTTTACAGTATATTCTGGGAAGCGCGTTAAGACGTCTCGAAGATGTGATAAGGCGTTGTATGAAATACATGGATTATTATTATGCCCCAGCCCCCCGCCACTCCCCCCCCCCACCCCGCTCTATTATTATCTGGTGTGGGCCAGTGCCACAGGGAACCCAATATATCCAACTACAAAGTACAAGGCAGGTTGCTGTGGCAGTGCGGAGTACATTCCTAGCAATCGATGGGCCACATAATGTCGTGAAAGGAATGGTTTTATTAATGATTAAAAGATTAAGGAGATTCACGGTCAAGTGCGATTTTTTTCTTCCTCGGGATCTCGAACGTATTTATTTATACATTGTACATAAATATGTGTTTAATTTTTTTTTGAGAAGAAAAACACGCAAAATGTTGATAGTAGGAATAAAGCACTCTTTTCACATTGAATATTTTGCATTTCACAACGGGGCTGGTCAGCTGGTTATAAAGGAAACCGCAGTGAACTCTGAATAGCTCATTACACAGGGGGGCAAAGCTGTGTGGAAATAGAGGACCTCTGTGGGTCAGAGGGAATGTTATATTTTTCTCTGCACCAAAGTTATAATTTAGCCTTTCTCCCCCACTGCTCTCCAACCTTCTCTCTCCTCCATTTTCTCGTAGAAGTCTCTTAACCTTTTTTGTTCCACCCCGCCCTCGCCCCATCCCATCCCTGCAGACATCCTCTCTACCCTGAATTCCACCGCATTCCTCGGTGACCAGGATGCAGTGATGAAGGCCATCCAGGAGGCGAGGAAGATGAGGGAGCAGCTTCAGCGGGAGCAGCAGCTGCAACAGGCAGGTCTCGACGGTAAAATGTCATCCGTGAACAACCTGGGAATGAACTGCACGGGCAGCAAGGTGGGTACAGAGTAAAGTCACAGCAAGCAAAACCATGCCACATAGCTTCCATTTACACAGCGCCTGCCTGTCGGGAGGAGCTTCACACTCCGGGCTGGGCAGCCGAGACTGGGGACGGGGGCCGAAAAGGGAGGGGAAAGACGACTGAAAGTGCGGTCAAAGAGATTGGTGTTCCAGAGATTAGTGTTTTATTGTTGTGGTGACTAAACGCACAGCCATTGATGTCACCTATATCGGGAATCCTGCTTAAAAAAATACAGCAACCACTTACTTAGCGGCCATCACGCAGGATGCCATCTCAGAGCGCTGTACAAGACGTCTTTTAGACTGGCCTTGAACGAGGTGAGGGTGGGAGGGACTAGTTTTGTGACTATTTCCAGCAGGGATGACAATATTGATGGATTCACAACCTGTCAAGAGTTCAGATGTTTTCCCGAATTTATAGCCTGAACCCAAAAGGCAATGGACAAGCGGATGCTTGAGTCTCCCATTATCTCACCAGGTGTCCAGGGAACTTGCAACGCAAAAGTAAGGTGTAAATTTGGATTGTTCCTTAACTTGATTACTTAATAAGGAATGGAACATCTCCTTCTGTTAACTTGAAATGCACCAACCCTCAGGAACTCCACTCCAATGCGATCTGCATCTGAAGCAGAGTTCCTGCAGGTCAAAGGGAGTTCCAGCAGGATTCCTGATCACTTAAGAAATCCTGCTAAGAAACAATTAGTATTTATTTAGCGACCTTAGCATCTCGGAGCGCTATACAAGTGGCCGGGCTGGGCACCAAGCAAGGCAGAGAAGATGGAGTTGGCCATAGGGTTGGTCAAAGAGGTAGGTTTTGAGGTGGGATTTGAAGATAGATTAAAGAGTGGATGAGACAGAGGGATTGAGGCAAGGTGTTCCAGAGAATAGTGTTGCAGTGGCTAATCGCACATCCATTGATGCCGGGTATATCGCAAATTACACCCCACCTTCTCTATTCATCCTTCAGACTGCAGAGGAGGTATTGCCCTGGTCTAACATTCACAGAGCCTGAATTAGACCAGGGATTTTCTCCCCACAATCGGGATAAGTGGGGGTGGGTTCCCGGCACTGTTGATCGGCTTGGCATTTCAGACAAATCCTCACTCTGCCTCGAAGGACAGACCAGAACTCATAAGCAAATGCCCCACTATCCCACTTAACAGCATTGGATGTAAATCCACACTGAGATCCAGGTTGAACCTCCAGTACCAAGCTAATGATTTGACCTCTAATCCTGTTGAAAAATCATACAGTCAGTCTGCCCGAGTCACGTCTACAAGCCAGAGCCCAACGATATCATCAAAGCATTGTTGAAGCAAAAATATTCCAAAATTAATAAGAATGGACAGAACAAAGCAAAAGGATGTTAACACTAATTGCGATTATTCATAACTGTTTGTTTTCCCGAAGGGGTCCTGATGGTGAGGCTGACTCTTTAATGCTTACACTTAGGAGCTTGTTCAAAGGTAACTTGGTTCACTCTTACCTCGGCTTCAAAGGGTGAAAGGTTTTTGTGTTAACATGCATTTTGATTATTTTTGGTTCCTCTCTGGGAGCCGCCCTTAAGGTTTTTGCAATTTAAAATGAGCATTAATAGGCAAAGCGAGGAGCCATGCAGAGTCAAGCAAGTCTGGACTTTGCTTTCTTTGAGCTTGTTAAAACCTGCCACGAGAAAGAATGGAAGAATAAACTTTCCAAGCCCACTGTTATCTTGTTCTCCTGCTTCAGCTTAGCAGGATTGTGAGGGAGGCTGATTTTTATTTTATTCTTCACCGAGAAAGAATTTCGAGCAGGAGAGAAACCTAGCTGCAATAGAAAGAACACTCCTGTGCTTGCCTACTTTGCTCAGCCAGCTCAGGCTTTCTGCACATACATCGACCCCTCTGCTCCACAATCGGCGGCTGTGCCTTCATCCACTATCCCCCAAACCTCCGAATTTCCCTGCTTCAATCCCTCCATCTTGCTCCCTCTTTGCCCACCTTCATATCACACTTGAAACCTTCTTTGATCGACTGTGCCCGTTGTCACCTCCCCTTTCTCTTCAGCTCGGCGTCAAACTATGTCATTGTTAAGCCCTCTGAGATGCTTCCCTGCGTGAATGGTGCTATAGTAATGCAAGTACTTGTTGTTGACACTTTGGAGAGGGGTCACAGTGGAGCAGGAGATAGCGAAAATGTAACATGCTTTACGCTCACACCAGTAAATGCTTTGCTCTGCCTATATAATGGAGAAATACAATTAGCAAACTGAGCATGTCAGATCCCAAGGGTGAGTCCTGGGATCAAGGATTACAGGTTATGATGAGACGTTCAAAAGAGGTTAACCCTTTTTCACTGAATGAAAGAAGATTGATAGGGGATATGATCCAGGTCTAAAATTAAAAGGACAAAAGATTGGAAGAAGGTTTCTCTGCACACCCCATCTCCCAGAGCAGAGAATATGTCAACAGATGCCCTACAAAAGCACATGATGTTGCATCAATTAACTCCTTCACTAAAGCCAATCCTTGCATTTGATATTGCATTTTTCACATTGGGAGAACATCTTAAAACTCTTTACAGGCTTCAGAGGCGAGAATGCTACAAATTGAGCCTGCCTAACTCACACCTTTGGGCTCTCAATTGGCAAAGCAGTGTGAATGGGAAAAGCGCCTTGAGCCATAAAGGGCGCCTCCTGCTGGTAAGCACGTGTATGTCACCCCGGCTTTGTGAGTACTGTTCTGGGCAGTTGGTGTAATGCGCACAGGCGTTTCCTAACCCAAACGCACTTCACCTCCCGCAGTACTAGTTGATCTGCTATTTCCCCTGGTGAGGTGCATGCTGAGCCATCAACCTTTGGTTGAGGCATCAAACCGAGGTCCTGTTGCCTGTTCATGTGGACGTTATAGATCCCATCGCACTATTCAAAAAGAGAAGGAAGTTTCTCCACATATTCTGACTAACAATCCCTCAGTTAAAACAATTACTTGTTCACTTCTTGGCTGGGGGACATTGCTGTGGGCAAATTGGCTGCCACGTTCGCCTGTAAATACACAGTGAAAACCCTGCGAAACACTTTGAAACATGTCGATGAGGTGATAAGGCACCGTATCAAATGCAAGAATGATTAGTATTATTATTCTGTGGATTAGCGGGTGCTTCTTATTGAGCCTCCTCAGTCCCTCACATTCAGCATTGTGTCCCAGCAACAACACAAATCTGTTCTGATCTGATTGCTTTCATCTCACAGGTTACAATTGGTCGCTTAATATTTATAGGCTAAATTTGAAAATAAAAATGACATGCAGTGCCTTGCAATCCTTTCTTTTTGGCAGGTGTTAAGGGGAGGGAGGTAGGGAGGGAGGGGGGGTAAGGAGAGTGAGCTAAATCCAATCTCATTATGTAAGCTCGCCTTTTCCTGCACCATTATAAAATCATAGATCGGCACCAGTGACAGGCATTCATTGCAATGCAGCAGCTCAAGTACACAGAATTAAAAATTAAAAGATTATCTGTGTAACGTACAGCTTTATAGCCTAGGGGGTATAGTCTGAGCATAAATACTGCAAGGAAATGTGTTGTGTGTTCTTGTAACACTCAGCTGCATTTACAAAATGCATATTGCATCTCTGGTAGCTCTGACAGAATTTGCTTTGGTACATTAGGGTACTCTCAGATCAACTTAAATGGGATCAAGAACAGGTTAAAATAATCAATGGGGGATTGTTACAGGGGATTATTAATTATTGATTCGACTGAGAGCATTGACACTGGTGGCGGTGGGGGTTGGGTGGGTGGGGTGCAGGGGAAGGAAGTAACCACTGGCTACACAGGGGAAACTTGGAGAAATTAATCGGACTGCATTGGGACTCAGACCAATCATTCAAGGGAAGTTCCCGCTAAAAATGGCATCAGTTCTAAATGGTTAATTGGAAATGCAGTGAGTTAAATCTGTAATGTCTCTCTCTCTCTCGCTCCCTCTCTCCCCCTCCACCCAATCAATTGAAATTAATTGTAACTTCACCGTTGGCCTTCAACCCTCGTGCAAATCATTCTGAAGTGCCTTATTGCTCTCTCGCCTGTCTGGGTGACCAGTGCTGAATGCAAGGTCAAAGCATTGGCACTTAGAGACTCACACCCTGCCGGGTTCAAAGAACAACTACATGTGTTTCAAAGGCCAGCTAAAGAGCCGGGTGGGGCGGGTCACCCGGGCTGTTTAATTTATTCATATTCGTTTTAATAATAATAGTCCTTGCATTTGATATAGCGCCTTATTGCGTTGTTGAGACGTCTCAAAGCGCTTCAGAGAATATACTGTCAAGTGGATTGACTGTGTATTTTGGGACGAATCCCAGCAGCCAATTGCGCACAGCAGAGTCCCACAAACAGCCGTGCAGTGAGTGACAAATTTTTTTTTTTAAGGAATTGTTACCCAGGACTAACAACTGGGTTCCTATCTACTGCTAGGTAAACAGAGACGTGTGGAGTAAGGAAACTTGCCTAAGATTTCGTCCCACCTGGGAATCGAGTGAGGCGAGCGCACAAACCAATACGCTACAGGCCTCCACAATATTAAAATTATTCATTTTAGCCATTAATCGCACACAAAATAAAATCACATTCAAGGAAAAATCAAACATCTTACATTTTTCAACTAATTACTCAGACACAAATCCTAGGTTATAATAATGTATGGGGTATTGTACCGAGCTGCACAGGAAATCATCTCCCCTCCATTGTCTCTATAACATACAATAATGTCCCGTTGTCAGGAGTAATAATAATAATAATAAATATTATACCAATAATAATCTTTGCATTCTCAAAGTGCTTCACGGGATTTACTGTAACGTGTAGTGACTGTGCATTTTGCTACGTTAACTTGGCCAATTTACACCAATTTGTGCACAGACACGTGACCATGAAATGAGTGACCACTCTGAGGATTTTTGTCCTGGGAGGAACCATTCTCTTTTGGAATAGTACCTTAGGGTCTTT